CCCCCCCCCCCGGCACCCTTCTGGAGTTTGTACAGGTGCCACCCTCCATCTTGGCTTCCCCAATTGCTCCTCGGCCAAACAGCTCCCATCTCCACTTTTTAAATTTTGGACTGCAGATCCCAAAATCTGGACTTAGTCTGGTGGGGGATTCTGGAAACTGCACACACACACCCCCAAAAAAACCCCACTTCCCAAGCCGCACAGGATGCTTATGTGCACAAGACAACATTTTCTGCTGAGTAGACTATTTCTGCAATGCTGTTTTCTGTTCAAAACAACCTTGTGTGAATTTTCTGCAGAAGAAATCCCAAATCGCAAATAGGCTTCATTAACTGTGTGGCTTTTTCAAATGCTTTCTTGCAGCAGGGAGTACTTGGATTGTGTCTTCCTGCATGGCAGGGGGTTAGACTGGATAGCCCTTGGGGGTCTTTTCCAACTCTATTCTTCTATAAGTATTCTTATTTATTAGTATTTTGTTGTTGAGTGCCTTCAAGTCTTTTCCAACTTATGGCAACCCTAAGGCAACCCTATCATAGGGTTTTCTTGGCAAGTTTCTTCACAGAGAGGGGTTTGCCATTGCCATCCTCTGAGGCTGAGAGAGTGTGACTCGCCCAAGGTCATCCAGTGGGTTTACATGGCCAAACTGAATTGATATTATTGTACATCATCCTGAGATCTTTGAATATAGGGTTAGACACAAATATTTTTCATCATCAGCATCAGTAAGAAGAATGGTACGGTCGGAGCACTTGGGACAGACACCTTGGTGTGAATCAGGAACACATCTCAATTGTTTTCTGGTCTGCTTTGGTTCCAGGTGTTCCTAATCCCTTTCCTTCTATTTTCTGCATTAAATCAAGTACACAAATTAGTATTATTCCAAATATATTTTATCGTGAAAGGTGGCTTTGAAAAAACAGATTTTTGTATGCCATTGTAGGGGACAGTTTCTGCCTCTTGGTTGCAGGCTACTTTGATGGAGGCATTGTTGGCACACAGAAGAGTTGTTATTGTTGTTGTTGTTGTGTGATTTCAAGTCATTTCTGAATTATAGCCACTCTAAGGTGAATTTTTGAGATCTAGCCTGGCATAGTGGTTTGAGCATTGGACTATGACTCTGGAGACCAGGGTTCAATTCACCGTTCGGCCATGGAAACTCATTGGGTGACCTAGGGCAAGTGACACTTTCTCAGCCTCAAGAGAAGGCAATGGCAAACCGCCTCTGAACAAATCTTGCCAAGAAAACCCCATGATAGGTTCACCTTAGGGTCGCCATATGTCGGAAACGACTTGAAGACACACAACAGCAACAACAACAACAAAGAAGGCGAATTTAGCACAGGGTTTTCTTGGCAAGATTTGTTCAGAAGGATTTGTGGGAAGAGAAGAGTGCTGAGTGTGAAATCAACCTGTGTACCTGTTTGTGGAAGAATTTCCCCCAGGTGGGTACAGGCCAGGGGGGAAAGCGGGTGGAAAACAACTTTGTCTCTCTCGATATGGCTTAAATCTCATTATCAGTTGACTTAATTTTATTGATCCCCCACCCTGCCCTATTCTCACTCTGTTGGGGCCCCTTTTCCTGGTCCGATTCGCAGCCCGATTAGGAAGCCAAAGCGGCTTAATAGGGAAGTCTTTATCATGGCCGCCGTCTGCCATCTTCATTTTAAATCAAATTATCACCCTTCCACCAGCTCCGTTCCCACTCCCTGGCCCGCTTTTTAAAGGGGAATATAGACTGGTAGTAGTGTGTTCCAACCCAAAAGATGGAGAATCTTTTCCTCTTCAGCATCAACTCCAAGGATGGGAAATTTTGGAGGTTCAGTGGGCAAAAAGGGCATCTTTCAGAAGTTCTGTAGTTATCTATTCCTGCATGGCAGGGAGATGGATTAGATGGCCCTCTAAAAACAAAAAACCACAATAACCCTGAGCCAGTTGTGGTTTAAGTGTTGGACCAAGATGCCTAGAGACCAGAGTTCGAATCGCTGCTCAGCCATGGAAACCCACTGGGTGACCTTGGGCAAGTCACACCCTCTCAGCCTCAGGGGAAGGCAATGGCAAACTTCCTCTAAATAGATCTTTCCAAGAAAACCCTGCCATAGGTTTGCCTTTGGCTTGCCATAAGTCAGAGGCACACAGGAATAACACTAAACTGTAATGAATGCACACTGGCTATGGAGAAGTAACACCACAACATTTTGGTTGTTCTGCTGCGTTGGTTGCAATGGGAGGTTGATGCTTATAGTTGGCTGGATCAGTGTAAAACGAAGTAAAAATAATGGTTCAAAAATTGATTTAGTGACACACTGCCATTCAGCCACTAGGAAAACATCAGGAATGCTTTTGGGGTTCTCTATGGTGCATGAGAGTGCTAGAGCATCTCACGCATACCGCCGCCACCATAGAGTCCTGGAAGACCTCAGGGAAGAGTGTCTCCTTCGCCAGGGTTGCTTGGAAAAGGAGCAAACTGTTGTGGTTTTGGGGTCCAAAAAAAAA